CATCTACCTGAGCTCCCCAGCACCCTGGAGGCAAGTCCAGAACGTCCTGGCTTCCAGCTCTGATCCTTGGGGCAGCTATGGCCTCAACACCTCTAGATAACATCCGCAGACCTTTCTGCATTCCTGACTTGGGCTCAGCACCCTAGAGGCTTAGATTCTGCCTGTCCTGGGTAGTTCTCATCATCTGGCACCCATCATGGCTCTGCCTTATGCCCCATTTCCACCAAGTGGCCTATCCACCCTCCACCAAGCCATCTGTTGCCCCTCTGTGTAGCGATGGCTGGTGAAGGTGCCTGTCTTCCCCATTATCATTTCAGCCTGAAGTTCTGGCTTGTCCCCTTTCCTGTCTTCAGATTTTCCAAAGATGGAAGGAGTTCTACCTTGGGTGTCCAGTAATGTACATCTAGCTGTCCTTGACTCTGTGCTTAGGTTTGAAGGCTTCTCTTTCCACCTTGACACCCAGAGGAACTGTCTCCTCCCCTCTGTGTGGTGGTGTGGGCCTAAGTATGTATGCACATGTGCATGAGCACAAATGCCTGCTATGCATAGCTAAACACACAGGTGTCTCACAGAGCAAGCCAGCCTGGAGCCTGCCTGCTGGAAACTCCTCTGGCCCTGTCCTGGTGCTTCCCACAGCCCCTGGCTTGCACCCCAGCATGGAAAGGACTATAGAACTGTCCAACCCTGCAGCAGACTTGCTCCGAGCATGTTCCTTGGTGTTGCGTAGCCTCTGCCAAAACGGAGAGGGAAATGATCCCAATTACTCAGGCGACAAATATTTATAAAGCATCCCTATGTACTGGGCATAGCACAGGCTCTGGACAGCTGTGTGCATGACAGGCCCTGCCCTGACTGGACTCACGTCCTAGTGTCAGGGAGGTGGTCAGGAAAGAAACATGTATGGGGTTTGGGGAGTTCCTGAGATGGCCGTCAGTAAAGTGCTTGATGAGCAAAGCTGAGGACCCCAGCGTGCATTCCCAGCATTCATATAAAAAGCTGGGTGTGGCGCACACCTTTAATCCCAGTACTTGGGAGGCAGAGGCAGGCGGATCTCTGAGTTTGAGGACAGCCTGGTCTACAGAGTGAGTTCCAGGACAGTCAGGGCTATGAAGAGAAACCCTGTCTCAAAAAAGCAAAACCAAAAACAACAACAACAACAACAACAACACCCCCCCCAAATGAACAAACGAAAACAAAAACAACCACCCCAAAATCTTGGTGCAGTGGTATGTTCCAGTACCTCCAGTGCTGGGGAAGCAGGGACCGGAAGATCCCTGGGACTCACTGGTCAACTAGTCTAGCCAAATTAGTGAGCTTCCAGTTCAGTGAGAGACTCTGCCTCAAAAGATAAGATGGAGAACAATCGAGGAAGACACCCATGTTGACCTCTGGCTTCTGCACATACGTGCACACACATGCATATGAACCTGCAACATACAGGTGCACTCACACATGCACCAAAAACTTCATTAATCAAAAAAGGAGAGTTTCCATTTTCCTTGGCACTCTAAAGCTCAGAGGAGTGTGACTGGGTAGTCAGACAGGACCTCTGTTTGGAGTTGAGCCTTGAATGGCAGGAAAGGCAGTCATCAAAGGATCCAGGGAAGCAACATTCTAGGCCAAGGGTACAGCTGGTGCAAAGGCCCTGAGGTGGGAATGAGCTTGGGGAGCAGAAAGAGGCCAGGGTGGCTGGGGAGGGGACAGCAGAGTGAGCTCAGGCAGGGCATTTTTAGGCCATGCTGGGGAGACTGGATTTTCATTTAAGGGAGATAGGAATTGCTGGAGGGTTAGGATGGAGGGAGGCACGTGGTGTCATTTATTTTTGCAGTATCCTCTGGCTGCTGCCAGGCAAACAGGGAAGGGGACAGGGTTATCTGAGGAGCAGTTGAGATCTGGAAAGTGTGTGGCTCTCCAGTCACTCCTGGCCCAGCCTTCTACTGTCATTATGGTCCCCATGTCAGCTGAAAGGAGGCCGCTGCGCCCAAGGTCATCCCAAGGGCTGTGGGTAGTGAGAGGCTCCTGGAAAGGGGCTTGGATCAGGCTGAGAGGCGGGCCACAGCGGGTCTTGAATGCTGCCAGCTTGTCATTGGTAGACGGCTCCCTGAGACAGATGCTCAATGGCCCAGCTCCACTCCTCTGCTCTGGCCAGCAGGGCTGGAGGCAGGAGGGGTCACTGCTTTGGCTTGTTTCTCTTGGTTGAGGTTTGGGGGCCTTGAGTTCATGGGGTGGGGGTTCAGCCTGCACCTTAGTCTTTCTAGCGGCAGAGGGAGACTGACCCTGATTGCGAGGAGTGGGATCTCAGACAAAGCCTTTTCCGGTGTGCGTCTCAGTCTCTCTTGCACTGGAGAGTTGAGTTCAGCTGCCGCTTCCCCTGGGGAGTTTGCCGTTCTGTGGATAACCACCCCCTCGGCATCCGTGACCTTAGTGTCACTTACCTGCTCTGCCTTCTCTTCGGCAAGAGAGGCAGGAGTGAGTCTCTGGTCACATCATGGCTCAGAATGAGGACCTGGAATATCGTTTTACACCTTTCACCTTGAAACATCCCCTCTGTGTATCCCTCCCAAGACTCAACTACTCTGGGCTCTACTGGCCCTCAGCCTGAGCAAGGACTCTGGGCCCCTTGCCTAGAGTAGATCTCAATGCCGCCCCTTGTCTGTTCAGCCCTGGAACCGAGGGCATGGGTCAGTGCCCAGTACTGGCAGAAACTCTGTCCTACTCAAAGCTTCAAGGGACATGGCAAGGCAGGTAGATTTGGGATAGCCTGAAGCAGTTTCTAGAACTTACAGAGTGCTGGGGGGCGGGGAGTCACCCAAGAAGTCCTTGATTTGTCCATAGTCCTAGCTTTGGTCTTCTGTGGCTTGGACATCAGGTGGAGCCACTTACACCCTCAAGTGGCTTCAGGAAGACCAGGCAGAACCTTAACCAGAGGGGCTTCCCACCCTGCCAGGCTTGGGTGCAGGAGCTGGAGCCATGCTGGCAGGGTAGGGGGCTCAAGCTGTGTCACCCAAAGTCAGTGCCCTGCTGCCCCGGATTGGTGAGGCCGTGGAGGGCTAGACCTCAGGCAGCAGGCTGCAAGCCCCCACTCCTCTCTTCCTGGCTATATTCCCCTTGGAATCGCAGTTGAGGAGGTGACCTCCTGGCCTCCTCTGGGTGTGCCACTGGGGGGGAACCAATAGAAATAGCAACGGCAGCAGGGATGTAGGGCAGACCAGAAAGACTCCCTTACTCAGCCCTAAGCCTCCAGGGTCCCTGGTGTCCTAGCATCAGGGCCAGATAGCTTAGAGCTTGGCTTGAAGATGTTTTAAATCTTTGTGTGTGTGTGTGTGTGTGTGTGTGTGTGTGTGTGTGTGTGTGTGTGTATGTGTGTATGTAAAATCTGAACTTAGTGCAGTTGTTAGAACTCTAGGTAGTCTATGTAGAGAGGCCCTGTCTCAAAAAACCAAAACCAACCAACCAACCAACCAAACAAACAAACAGAAAACCCACCCATACTCTAGGTAGTGACAATGGCCTGGGCTGAGGCCCCCGATCTCTCTCTTTCCAGCCATCTTTGACTCAGTGTTTGAAAACCCAGGGTTAAATGATTTTAACTGGTCTGTAGTAGCTGAGCTCTCCTCAAAGGCCCAGGAGTCCCCAGAGAGCAGAACTCGCTTCCCTCTCTGGACTCACGTAGGTGCACAGTCCTCCTGGAACTTAGCTCTTTCCTGCAGGCCCGAGTCGGTGGCCTGGGGCGGGCCTGGCAGGCGAGACTCAGGAGCAGGCGGACACCAGGGCTCCTGTCCTTTCCACCCTGCAGCTTGTTCTGCTGCAGCCCAGAAAGCTGACTTCTCCCTCTCCTCCTCCAGCCTCTCCTGAACTCAGATAGACCTCTCCAGAAGAAAGCAGGGTGTTGGGGGGCCACCCAGGCCCATGTAATGGAGCAAGGGATAACTCAAACCAGAAACAGGAGAAGTCCAGGCACCTGCCTCTGCGGCTTTCCAGGGTGTTGGGGGCAGGCCTGGCTCGTGTCTCTGACTGAGATTACTTGGGAGGGTAGCCTAGGCTACAGGGGCCTGGAGCAGAGAGAAGAGAATGGGTGAGTGAGGCCACAGCCCATTGCACGTGGCTTCTGCCTTCCTAGCTAGAATGCCATGGGGCAGGAAGCCCCTGGAGGTTGGGCAGAGCAGGGTGTGGCTCTTCCGGCTTCGTTTTCCCCAGAGTGCTTCTCAGAGGTCTTCCTTGAGCTCTTCCTTAAGATTTGGTGAGCTCCTGGGAGGGAGAGGGCTCATGAAGAAGGGAACCCTTGTCTCTTTCCCTTCTTCTGCCATCGCTAGACACTTGCGCTGGCAGGGGCAGCCTCGCCTCAGCGCAGCGGGTAACGCCCAGCACCCTGGACAGCGCGCTGCTCCCGGTGGGCCCCCTGTGGCTGATGGCTGTCTCCCGGCTCTGCTCTGGCCTCCCTGGAACGCCCCCTGCCAGCATCAAGCTGCACTTTCATTCATTCCCTTGACTTCTCTCTTAGTGCCCCCTTTAAGAGCAACTCCTGGGCCGATTTCCTCCACTAGTTACAAATGCGGGTTCCTCTGTCTCCTGCAGCCGGGGCTGAGAACATGGGGAGAGGCACATAGCCAGCTAAGACAAATCTGGGGTTTTGTCTCCTTTCGCTCTCAATAATACAGGGGGGCCCTTCAAGAGCTGCTGGACACTTGCCCAGTTCCTCACTACTTGGGTCTTCCTCAAGGAACTTTGGTGGATTCTGAAGAATACAACAGGGACCCTAAGAAGTGATAGAGAAGGCAGGGGCTAGGGTCTAAGGGTCCAGCCACGGGCCAGAGAAGCGCTGGAAGGGGGAGGGGGCTGGCCTGACCAATGAAGTTAGGGTGCCACAACCTGAGCTCATTCCCCAGCAGAAAGTTACTAAGGAGATCATCATAGGCTGCCCCAGTCCTGGTTTCACAGGACTCCAGACCCTCTGACTTCCGCCCTGTCTAATTGACTTTCTCTTTCCGTCTTCTGTCAAGTTTTTTGGAGCCCTAGGGCTGGCTGGGTCAGATGGAAGCAGTGACCATCATGGATGAAGAAAAGCTCCCATGTGAACTGTGTGAGGAAGGAGGTGCTGTCGAGGACCACAGCCTGGGGCCTGAAGGGGAGCCTGGGGTCCAGAATGGAATGGAAGCCAGTGGAGGCCCAGGCAGCCATACCAGCAGTCCAGGCAGTGAGAAGAGAGGCACCTTAGAGGGAACCATGGAGCCCGTGGGAGACCCAGATGCAGCCCTGCCTGGCCTTAGCCTCTCTCTCACCAACGGCCTGGCCTTGGGACAAGATGGGAACATTCTGGAAGATTCCATGGAATCCAGGTCCTGGAGGGCTAGTGGACCAGCAGAGGAGGAGGAGGAGGATGTGTCCAGAAGTCTCTGTCCAGATGCTGAGGACCCTCAGCTGGGGTGAGTGGGTACCCTGGGATGGGCTAGCCCCCAGTCTCTCTGGGAGTCTGGGATTTCCTGTCCCTGTTTTCAGCTTCTGAGTGTTTTGAAAAGACAGAGTCCTGCAAGGGATTTCAGAGGCAAGCAGGCTTGCTCTCCCCGCCCCCCAGCACTTAGCCCCCACAAACCGTCCTGAGCCATCTCCATGAGGGGTTGTACTCTCCCAGCTGAGAGTGGAGCTTCAAGTCCACTCAAAACGTCTAGATGTGAAAGGCAGGTTATCTGGCCCACTCTCCTACCTCAAGACAGTCCAGGTGTACAGGCCTTGTGTGCTCATCCCTCCCAGGGAACTTCCCTGGGATTTTGAGTAAGTTGTATTGGGAACCTTGTGTTTTTCCTAGTCAGTGGAGTTACAGTTTGTTTCTCAGCAGAAGGCAGAAAAACTGGTCTTGGGGTACCACTGGACAAGGAGGAGGGGATGGGCAGGCAATGTCTAAAGGCCAGGAAGTCTGAGAAGAGCACACACACATCTTGTAGAGCATAGCTGTAGGCCTGCCAGGCCTGAGTGGGCAAGTGCACAGGGGTGTGTAAATATGTAAGGGGGTCTGTATGTGTATCTCCAGCCTTTACATTGGTATATGCACAGGGGTGTGTGAGTATGCATGGGGGGGGGGCACGTGTGTGTACATGTGTGTGCACGCATGTGTGTCTAGCCTGTACATTGGCATTTGTACAGGAGATATGTGAATATGCATGGGGGTTTGTGTGTGCCTGCACGCGCGCGCGCGCGCGCGTGTGTGTGTGTGTGTGTGTGTGTGTGTGTGTGTATCTGTGTGTACCCAGCTTGTACATTAATTAGTATATGCACAGGTGTGTGTGTGTGTGTGTATGTGTGTGTGTGTGTGTTCAGCTCCGAGAGACCGGTAGTGTGGTAGCTAGTCTTAGTATGGGGGGGATATCTAGCTAGAATGGTGACTATGCTCTTGCATTCTACAGGCTGGATTGCCCTGGGGAGCCAGATGTGCGGGATGGCTTCAGTGCCACTTTTGAGAAGATTCTGGAGTCAGAGCTGTTGCGGGGCACCCAGTACAGCAGCCTGGACTCATTGGATGTGCTGAGCCTCACTGACGAGAGCGACAGCTGTGTCAGCTTCGAGGCCCCCCTTACACCTCTCATCCAGCAGCGGGCCCGAGACAGCCCCGAGCCTGGGGCTGGGCTGGGCATTGGGGACATGGGGCCTGAGGGGGATCTGGGGGCAGCTGGTGGTGGTGATGGGGAGCTGGGCAGCCCCCTGAGGCGGTCCATCTCTAGCAGCCGCTCGGAGAATGTCCTGAGTCACCTGTCCCTCACCTCGGTGCCCAATGGGTTCCATGAAGATGGACCTGGGGGCTCAGGAGGGGACGACGAGGATGATGAGGACACGGACAAGTTGCTGAACTCTGCCAGGTGAGGAGGGGCTGAGGAGCCACGGAGCAGATAGGGGAACTGAGACCCAGAGGAGGCAAAGCATTCTGGGAGGGCAGTGTCCACAATCCACAAGCCCTCGCAAGGTCACCTTGTCTATCCTCTGCATGCAGACAGCCCGTCCAGTCTTGAGGGTGCATACACTCTGCTCGTCCATTCTAATGGCTCAGAGCAGGTCGTATTGCTATGCTGAGGGCACAGCCACATCTGATTCACTTGAGCCGCTCTGGAAGTCTGGCTCCATGCTGCCGGGAGTGGAGCCTCTTTCTCTCCTCTGCTCCCCCCCGTCGCCCTCCCCCAGTGGATTTTCAGTGGGATCCCTCTGATGCCCCTTCTTTCCCTATGCAGTGACACCAGCCTCAAGGACGGCCTGTCGGACTCCGACTCAGAGCTGAGCAGCTCCGAGGGGCTGGAGCCTGGTGGCACAGATCCTCTGACCAACGGGTGCCAGGGGGTCAGCGAAGCCGCTCGCCGGCTGGCCCGTCGCCTCTACCACCTTGAGGGCTTCCAGCGCTGCGATGTGGCCCGGCAACTGGGCAAGAAGTGAGTGCGTCTCCCCAGCTCCTATCCCAGGCGAAGCAGACCCATTGTCTTCCGGGAGAAGGGTGTTGGGGACTTCTTTCAGGGGTAGCTGGTGCCAGGAGCTCTCCCAGGCCTTCAAGGATACCTCCTCCTGTCACCGTCCTCATTCTTGACCTCGCCCTAAATCTGTTTCCTTTCTGGGCTGCTGGGGAGAAGGTGGCTGCTGTCAGGGAGGGGGTGGTGGCAGGCGGCCCCTCAGGGCCGGGGCGGGATGGGGGGATGTGGTTATGGTGTCACGAAGGGCAGCAGAGAGGACGGAATAACGTGACAGGGCTGGAGCTCTACCCAGTGGGGCCGGGTGGAGGGGAGTACCTATGAGGGACCCGGGTGCAAAGAACACTAGGCAGGTAGAAGTTCTGAGGAGGATTGGGGACCCGGGGTGTGTGTGTGTGTGTGTGTGTGTGTGTGTGTGTGTGTGTGTGTGTGATGCGGGTGACAAATATTATTCCGGGTATGTTTGAACATAGTGTGGCCCTTGCCTTGGCCTTTCTATCCACCAGGACTCATCACCCCAGGAAGGCTGGGGGTGGAGGGAGCTGGCTAGTCTCCTGTACCACTCACAAGGCTAAGGCAGATGGTCAGACCTGGGTCAGGCTTAGATGAGGGGTTTAAGTCTTAGGAGGCCTTTTTGTACCCTCTGAAGCTTCCTTGGACCTTGGGCAGTGGGTTCCCGGGAGCCCTTCCTAAAAATCACAACTCAAACTCCTCTGGCAGGCGGAACATCTCCATCCTTGGGAGAATGGGTTCCTGCCACGGTTCCCTGGCGCCCTCTGCAGGCTCCTCCTGCAATTCCTGCAGCTCACCCCTCCCATCCAAAAAGCGCATGGGGTAGGGTGGGGCGAGGGGGCGCTTCCAACTCCTCATCTCCAACCCTCAGGTCTTTTGCCCTAGGTGGCTTCTGTCCCTTTCTTTCTTCTCTTAGCCCCCTCCAGATGGGTTCTTGCCATTCTGTGTCGCCTTCAGAAACTCCTCTTTCCCGTCACTAAGGGCTTAGGGTATTGGAAGCCGGTGGCTGCTACCCATGCCACCTTCAGCAGCATCAACACAACTGGTCCACTTGTTTCTACTTCAAGTTTTTCATTACGAACATTTTGAACATACACAAAACAGATAAACAATACATCCAACAGTTCGTACACCCATTATGCAACTTCAAAGTGCTCTGAGGTCTCACTGTGTAGCCCAGGTTGGTCACCAAATCCTTCTGCCTCAACCTCCCAAATGCTGGGATTATAGGTGTGTATCACCACACCCAGCTCTCAGCTTTGGTGTTCTGTTATTCTTTCCTCTGTCACCCCACAGCTTTCCCTCCACTTGTGGGAAGCATATGCATACACTCTTATCATTTGACTCACAATGTAGGCTGTACCTCTAGCTGATAAAAAGCATTTTTTATACAATTCTGTTATTACAGCTAACAAAATTAACAAAAATTCCTCATTATCTCCAACATTTGGTGTATTTCGTTTTCTCTCTCTCAAAAACATCAATTTGGTCAGGTCTGGTGGTGCAGGGTTGTTATCCCAGCTACTGGAAGCCTGAGGCAGGAGGGCTACAAGCTTAAAGCTTGCCTGGGCTACTGAGTGAGTTCAAGGACACTCTGGAAAACTTAGTGAGACTCTCTCAGAAATATATAAGATAAAAATAGGGCTTGGCTGTAGCTCAGCATAGAGCACTTGTCTTAGGTGCATGAGGCCCTGGGTTCAATCCTTCATACCACCACCAAAAAACAAATACATAAATAAAAATTGTGTGGTCAAATTAGGGCTAGAACATGATTCACATGTTGCACCTGGCCCTCTCTTTCACAAGTGGCATTTACTATACAACCAGCCACCTCTCTGTCTTTTTCATTTGTTCTTTCTCCCCCCACCTCTGGTACATGCGTGTTCATCTGTAAGAATGGATGAAAACATCAACCAGAGGTTGGTCTTGAGTGTCTTCCTCTATTACTTTATATACCATGTTTTGAGAAAAGGTCTCTCACTGAATTTGGAGCTCACTGACTGGCTAGGCTGCCCAGCCAGCAAACTACAGGGATCCCCTTGTCTCCACATCCTCAGTGATCAGATTACATGTCCACGCCACTACAGTGGCTTTTTTACCTGGATGTTAGGGATTCAAACTCAGGCCCCTAGGTTGTGGACAGAGTTTCTCTGTGTCTTGGCATCTGTTCTCAAATGACCAGACAGAGACTTATTATTAATTATAAATGCTTGGCCGCTAACTTAGGCTTGTTACTAACCAGCTCTTACAACTTAAATTAACCCATTTTTATTAATCTATGTGCTGCCCCAAGGCTCATTTACCTCATCTGTGAACTTCCTATATTGCTTCTCCCAAGTCTGACTCATGACTCCTCAGACTCCACCCTTCTTCTTCCCAGCATTCTCTCTGCCCTGAAAATCCTGCCTAGCTATCAGCCAATCAGCTTTTTTATTAACAATGAGAGCAGCGTATATTTAGAGTGTACAAAGATTGTTCCACAGCCCCAGGCTTGCAAGGCAAGCATTTTAACATTGAAGGCCACCTTCCCAGGAAGTGGCACGTACTGAAGGAACAGAGCCATTCATCCCAAAGAATTTCCCACAGTTTGGATATGGATCTGGTGTTATTTCACACATTCCTCTAGTTCCCATGATCCTGTCAATGGGAAGGAAAGCTTGAGCCTTTAATTAGAGTCAGGTAGAAATCTCTTCAGAATCTTCCTCCCAGGCTTCATGAAACATGTTCTTCCTTGGCCTCCAGGAGGGCACAGCCCTACCCACTGCTGATGCTCATCAGTCCCCTTCACCAGCTCTTTCCTTGGTCTAGACCCTTAATGGGGCTGCTTTCAGATCTCTGCCCTGGGCTCGCACATTAAAAGAAAATATTTTTATTTATGTGTATGGATGTGTGTGTTGTGTGATTGTATACTACATGTGTGCGGATGCCTGAGGAAGCCAGAGGAGGGTGACAGAACCACTGTGGCTGGGTTGCAGGCAGTTGTGAGACACATGACATGGGTGCTGGGAACTAGACTCAAGTCCTCTAGAAGAGCAGTGAATGCTCTTAACTACTGAGCTATTGCTTCAATCCAGTCTGGCCTCAAGCTCAAGATGACCTTGAACTCCTGATTCTCTTGACACCTACCATGCTGGGGATTGAACCCAGGGCTTTGTGCATGGTAGGCAGACACTCTGAGCTATACCCTCAGCCCATCTGTACCTTTAAAAGTTTCACTGATTTGTTTTTGAGACACAGTCTCATTATGCAGGCTGGTTGGTCTCAAGCTTCCGATCCTTCCACCTCATAGTGCTGAGGTGACAGGAAAGTGCTGCCATACCAAGCTCCCTGTACCTTGTTCTCACAAGGGCTCAGCTCTCAAGACACTAAGCTGTCTCTTACAAGGTTACTCTCACAGGGACTTAGCCAGCCCTGTCCTTGTCCCGAGCTCTGACATCTCCATCTTCTCAGTCATTTTCTTTTCCTTTCTGTGACCTCAGCAGCCTAAATTTTCTCATCTGGGCCACTTTTTTTTTTTTTTTTCTGGATCCATCCTTTGTGGGTCTCCACTCTGCAGGTATGGTGTTAGCTTCAAAGTCTGTAGCCAGGCCCTGGTCCTTCCTGTGATCTGAGGTCTTGCCCCTGCCTCACCTCTTGCTGCCCCCCCACCCCCCCAGCTTGATATGATGTCATATCATCATCTCTGCTGGGGACACTGGGCATCACCTCACCCCCAGTCCCTTCACTGAGCAGGCTCTTACCTGAGCTGAGACGTCATCTCCTGAGCCCCCAGACCAAGGTTGATCCATCTGAGCTGAGTGCCCAGAGGGTCTGGACAGAGCTGGGGTGGTGGTTAAGCGTTCTCTGGGGCCCAGCTCCCCAGTACCTGCCATCCTGGGACTTGAGGCCTGCGCCTAACTGACATCCTGTGGTGCTTTCTCGGCAGCAATGAGTTCAGCAGGCTGGTCGCTGGAGAGTACCTCAGTTTCTTCGACTTCTCAGGCCTCACATTGGACAGAGCACTCAGGTCAGTGGGACTGGGATGGGACAGTGCCCCCAGGTGGTGGCACAGTGCACCTGGATTGTCATTCCAGGTCTATCATGACTTGCTGCGCAACCTTTACCCCTCTAGCAAAGCTGTGGGGAAGGGAAACTATGGATAGCAGTTGTCCGACAACTCAGTGGATGCCAGCTACTGTGATGAATGCTCAGGTTATGAAGGTGGGAGTATGGTCATGGCTCTTAGGGCTGGCTTGTATGGAGCACTTCCTGCCTGCCAGATGCCATAGGTCTTTATAGACCTGGCCTACGTTGATGGTAAAGGGGACTTGATTGTAGCTCTTTTAGTGTTTGGGCCACAGAAGGGTCAGTTGTGGGCCCGGGGATGGGTGGGATGGGGGGATGTAGCCCAGAGTCATCAGAAGGATGCTAGGCCAGGCCTGAGGAGGGAAGGGCAATGTCTCTGGGCTAAGGGTTGTGTCCATAGATGTTAGACCATCTCGTTGGATCCCAGATGTCTCTTATACTTTTTAAAAAAACATTTTATAATTTTTTAAAGGTTTATTTATTTTTTATTATGTATACAGTGTTCTGCCTGCATGTATGCCTGCACAACAGAAGAGGGCACCAGATCTCATTATGTGGTTGCTGGGAATTGAACTCAGGACCTCTGGAAGAGCAACCAGTGCTCTTAACCTCTGAGCTATCTCTCCAGTCCCCATCTCTTATACTTTTTAAGAATCACTTTTTCTTCTTTTCCCCTCTGTCTCTGTTGGGGTATTTTCTGTTGGCTTCCGGTACACTTGCCATTTTGCTATGTCCAGTGGACCACTGAAGCCAATAAAAACTTACTGAGGGACTAGAGAGATGGCTCCGCATGAGTAGGAAGGGTGAGGACCACAGGTCAGACCTCGGCATCTATGTAAATGCTAGGTGGGCATGGTGTCTGCCTGTAATCCCAGTGTGTGGGAGGCAGAGACAGAGAGGAACCCCAGAGCAAACTGGCTATCTAGGCTGGCCATATCAGCACACTCTCTTGGTTCAAATGAGAGACTCCCCTCCGCGCCCCCTCCCCACTTCAATATATAAGGTAGAAAGCAACTAAAGACACTTGATGTCAGCCTCTGGCCACTGTGTGCACATGCACACACATGCACCTACATAAATTCAAGCACACATACCCTCAGGCATGCATACCAAACATGCATACATACACGCCCCCCCAAAAAAAAACCTCATTAAATTTTTAATTCTCAGTTACATTTTACATTTCTAGAATTTCCATCATATTTAACCTTTAAAGTAGATTTTAGTTCTCTGTGGGACTCCACATCTTTTCACTAACTCATCTGAATCACCTATATCTTTTTTTTTAAAGTGTAGTTGTGACTCATTTGTGTGTGTGTGTGCGCGTGTGTGTGCGCACATGCATGCGTGCACATGTGGAAACACATGTGCAGAGGCTGAGGTTGATGTTGGAGTCTTCCTCAATTGCTCTCCATCTTATAATCTGAGGCAGAGTCACTCAGATGAATTCAGGGCTCATGGACATGACTGGCCTAGCAAGCTGGCTTGCTCCAGGAACACCCTCTCTCTGCTTTCTGATCGCTGGGTTGGTAGAGAGCCCCTGGGAAGCAGGATCTGGGAAGGATGGGGCTGGAGTTTAGAAAGTACAATGCACTGGGTGTGGAGAGATGGCTCAGTGGTTAAGAGACTGGCTGCTTTTCCAGAGGGCCCTGGTTCTACTCCCAGCACCCACAAGGTGGCCCAGAATTGTCTGTAATCCCAGTCCCAGGGGATCCTCTTGCCCTCTTCTGGCCCCTGTGCATACTGCACACATGTGCTGCACAGACATACATGCAGGAGCTCACATGTGCTTACAAAGTAAGTAAAATAAAAAGGAAGTACAGTGGAGTATGAGGGACTTGGGGGAGAGGGCAGGATACAGGCGAGACAGGGACAGGAGGAGAGCCAGATACCGGGTGAGAGATGTTTTTTGTGTAATAGTAGATCACTTAGGATTGAATTTCAGGAGTGCTCTACAGTTTGGGGTGCCTAGGAGACCTCCAAGGGGAAAGATTGGCCGTAGGTCCCAGGGCTCTTAGGCATCTCAAAGAGGGCACAGTGAAAGGGCATTGCAGGTACTTTGGCCCATACACCAAAAAAACTGTAGCAAAACTTGGACATGTCTTGTGAACCCAGGACAGAAAGAGGCATAAACGGGTTCAGCTTGGAGTCTCCCTTCTCAAGGAAAGGGTGTGCATAGGACCTGGGTGACAGCTCTTGGCCCCATCTTCCCGTCCCTCTGGTTTTGGGATCAGCTTCCAAGTATCCCTAAGAGTGAATTGACCTTTGAACTTGGCGTTGAGAGGGATGACTAGATGGAAAGGATGTCCTGGAGGGATCCCAGCACACGCAGAGGCCCAGAATAGCATTGCTCTGCCTGGATTGTGAAGATGGTTTGGGGAAATAGCATGTGGGTATGAGGTCCCAGGGACAGGAGGGATCTGGGCATCAGCAAGGCTGCAATATGAAGGATGTGGATGTTTCTCTGGGGTTTCTGGGGAGCCAGGGAAAGGTTTTAAGTGGCTGTGGGTGGGTTAAGATTGCCTATGTGTCTACAAGGCAGATATAATATGTGTGGGGTGTTAGCTGGGAGACTGGGGTAGGTGCCCTGAGCATGTGATGAGGGTAGACTAGGCGGGAGGAGGCAGAGGAGGAGGAGGAGGAGGAGGAGGCGGAGGAAGAGGAGGAAGAAGAGGAATTGAGATAAAGACAAAAGGGAGGCCAGGCATGGTGGCGCATGCCTTTAATCCCAGCACTTGGGAGGCAGAGGCAGAGGCAGGTGGATCTCTGAGTTTGAGGCCAGCTTGATCTACAGAGAGAGTTCCAGGACAGTCAGAGCTATGTAGAGAGATACTGTCTCAAACAAACGAACAACTCCCCACCCCAGAGAAATGAAGAACAAATCACAGAGACTTGGTGCAGCTCAGACTTAGGGGTGGGGGAATGAGAATGGAGGGGTGGGTTCAGTAGAGAATTGAAGAAGAACATGCTGATGGGTGGGGCTGGCAGTCTAGGACACGCTGATACTGCCTACTTCCGGAAGGGTGCTGCAGGAATGAGAGAGAGAGAGGGAATTCTGAGGTCTTAGACTCCAGAGGCCATTCTGGAGGGTGCAGAGGGTGTCCAGACCCAGGTACTGGGGTACGGGAACACGGGTCTCAGGTGTGCGTTTGTGTGGGGAGTAAATTCTATTGCAGTGAGAAGGCTAAATCGGGGGCTCTGAGATTCACTAAGCAATCTTGAATTACATTCTAGAACCTTCCTGAAGGCCTTCCCACTGATGGGGGAGACGCAGGAGCGAGAGCGAGTCCTTACCCACTTCTCCCGCCGGTATTGCCAGTGTAACCCAGATGACAGCACATCAGAAGGTACAGCACTCCCTGACCCCCCTCCCGTACTCCTTGTCTAGCCGAGGCCTGGTCTTCTCCCACCCTAGCCCATCTGACACCTCTACCTTGCAGGCAGGCCCAGGTGGGCCATGTGCTCTGGCATATAGTAGGTGCTCAATTAAAACTGAACAAATACAGTTGGGTGTGGTGACTCATACCTGACATCTCAGGGATTGGCAGGATGAGTCAGGAGGGCTATTTCAAGCTTGAGGTCAGCCTGGGCTACAGAGTGAGACCTTGCCTCAAAATCCAAGACCACAAAATGTCCAGTGAATATCAGATGGCCTGCTGGACAGGAGAGTCTAAAGGTCTTGTTCATTATCATCCATTCCCAGCATCTATAAATCCTTCCTACACTCAGTCCTTTAGCCTAGTCCATGTCCTGTGTCTTCTGTCACAATGCTGACTCTCAGTAGGGGAGGGGGCGTCCCATGCAGGTCTCTTGCAGAGGCAGGACTTGCCATATGGATGGACCTGAATCATGGGAACTGAGGGGACTAAGTCTCTTATTGCTACTGTAGGGACATGGCTTGGGGTCCAAAGCCTTTCCTAGGTCTAAGGTTCAAGGTGGCTTTGTCTGCAAGGGGCAGACATCTGGGTTAGAGCCTGTCTAGGGTGGTTAGGGGCCCTGGGGGGTTGGGCATCACCCAGGCCTTGGCCCTGAAGTGCTTGTGGGCAGATACCTGGCTTCCTTTGTCTGTGTGGCCTCTAGGTTGGCAGGTGGGGAGCTCTGGTGGGAGTGAGTGGGTTCTCACACTGGAAATCGACTGTGTTCTATTTAGATGGGATCCACACACTTACCTGTGCTCTGATGCTGCTTAACACAGACCTGCATGGACATGTGAGTAGGGGGACTGTCGGGGGATCTGGGCTCTCACCTGCTCCTGTCACTGAGGGCAACGTAGCCAACCCTGTAGCCATCCCTCTTGCTGAAACCCTTGGTCAGGGACAGTGTTTTTTCCTAGCAGACCCGGGAGGTGGCTGTCTTGCTTCTAGATTTGACCCTGTCCTGGTTTTATCCGCTGGTTCTGCCTGGGTTCTGGCTCCTAAGAACAGTGAGAACAGTTGATGCACGTGGGAATTTTTCTTTTTAATTTTTCAAGACAGGGTTTCTCTGTGTAGCCCTGGCTATGCTGGAACTCTCTCTGTAGACCAGGCTGGTCTCAAACTCAGAGTTCCACCTGCCTCTGCCTCCCAGGTGCTGGGATTAAAGGTGAGCACCACCACTGTGCCCGGCTGAGGCACATGGGAACTTAAGACACAGCAAATAGATGTGCCATCAGGACACATCTGTGGTAGAGTCCATGCCTTGCTCTACCAAAAGGCCGTGTGCTCTTCCATATCTCCTCTAAAAGCCCAGCTGTGGCCTTCCTGAGATGTCATGCCCCAGACAGCTGGTCTCTGCCAACCACATGGCAGGTTACTCTCCAGGGGCCTCCTCCTCACCCTTCACTCCTGTCAGGCCAGTGAGTGGAAGAATAGGTGTGGGGTGCCCAGGTCCCACCCCCGGTGCCTCCAGGCTTCCCACGCTCACTAATCCCTTCTTCCTTCCTCTGTTGGCTACTGCTCTGGGCGCCCCTGCCCTTCCTTCCTCAGGTGGTAAGTGCTGCTGTTAGAGCGTGCATGCTCCGTGCTTAGACCCGCCTCCATTCACCCTCTGTGTCCTGTCCCACCATCTGCCCCACCCAACCGCTCTCTGGCCCTCACTCACTCAGGGCTGGTCAGAGCCCCTCCTGGGAGTTGGGTAGATTTTAGTGACCCAGTGACAACAGGTCAGTATGTCTGGCTCTAGAGTAAACCAGAAAAGTCCAGGAGATATGGGGTGTAAGGAAAATCTGGGATAGACAAGCTGCACAACCTAGTCTTGCCTTCTTTACTGAGTAGCTGTGTGATCCTGGGCAAGTCACTTGCCCTCTCCCAGTCTCAGGTTCTGCATCCTCTCAGGGCAGTGATGATTTCCTCCAGTGTCTCGGGGAGGATTATGAGTGGCAGCGGTCCGCAGCCCAGCAAGGGTTTCCGCTGTGAACAAGCCCACCACATGCCCAGTGGGATCCATTGCTACCCTTACACCTTGAGTGATGGACAGCCTGTGGGTACAGCCTTGAGGCTGGGGGCAGCTGGAGTGGCTGAGGGAGAGGAGGAGGAGTAGCCGGCTGGGTTTGTGGGCACATGTATGCAGATGCTGTATATTCCCCGTGAGCGGAAGTGGAGTGAGCACCCTGCCCAAGCCAGCCCTCTCCCCGAGATCACTCCCTCTGTTCACGGGTGTCACTAGCCATTTGAAAGAGAGTGCTAACACACCCCTCCACACTCTGCCCCCTCTCAGTGGAGAGGCCCCCAGCGTGGTGGGCCTTAGCCGGTCTGGGCCCTTCAGCTGAGGAGGGAGCGGTGGTTGGATGGGGGCTTCACACTGCTGGAGACACGGAGCAGTAACTCCCCTGCAGCAGTGTTGCTCAGCAAGCAGTGTGTGTGTGTGGTGGTGGTGGGGGTGGGGTGGGGAGCTGGGCTAGGCTTCTCTGTGTCTGCCCACAGCACAGCTGTATGGCCTGGAGCAAACCTGTTAACTGACCAAGCCTCTGTTGATCTCCCCCTCTTGTAACCCCTGCCTGTGAGTCTCCTTTTTTGGTTGCTAATTTATTATTTTATTTTATGTGCTTTGGTGTTTTGCCTGCATGCATGTGTGAGGGTGTCAGGCCTCAGTGATGAAGCTGCCGGTGGGAAGGTCCCGGGAAAGAGGCGCGATTTGACGCCTGTCTCTAAGGCTTCCTTCCAGGTGAGCCATGAGAACAGGCTAGGATTGCTCTTAGCTCAATGCCATGGCAGACATTCAGGGAAAGGCTGGCTGCCCTGGGTCAAAGGTGATCGCCAAGTGTCACTCTCTCAATAGCTGCCCGGGTAGCACCTAACCCCAGCCAGCCTCTACTCTGGGCAAGGATGTGGGCTTAGAGAGATGGTTGCCCTGGCCTGAGAGAGCTAAGGTCACCATCATGAGATGGTGCTGTGGAGAGACTAGCTGTAGCTTGTTCCTGCTAGGGGACAGAGGCTGTGGGAAAGAGGCTCCAGGGCCCGGGGCCCAAGGGAGGTCCTGTTGATGGAAATGGGGACAAGGAGACACTGGGCATTCAGGGTTTCCAACCGTACACCTTCTTGGGCTGTGCCGTCATCTGGGTCCCCTGCCCCTGGACATGTCTTTTTGCCTGGAGGCTGTCTACTATCAATATTACTTTAAAGCAAATAACTTCTTTGGTTTTTCTTTTTTCCACATCTTGGCGAGTCTTGCTTTTTGGCCTAGAGAGAGGTGGACTTTAGTGAAGGATTTGACTTGGAGTGTGTTTTCTAGAGTGACTATGATGTCCTTATATGTCAATAAGGTCAGGCATTCCATGTTGTGGAAATCTTGTGTACACTCACTGATTAATTTCATTGTGGTAAAATACAGTAGCAGGCGCTGACTATTTTAACCACTTAAGAACACAGAATGCAGCGGCTTTCAGGACATTCCCAGTGGTGTGCACCCAGCACTACTGACCCATTCCAGAATTTTTCCTCACTCTCAAAATAAGCCTCACACCTGCCAACAGTCACACCTCCTTACCTCTCCCCACTCCCTGGTAATGCGGACATGCTTCCCGCCTGTATGGATCTGTCTGTTATAAATATTTTGTGTGAGCAGAATCATACAACACCTGACCTTCTGTGTCTGACTTGTTTTCCTTGACATGTTTTTAAGGATCGTTCATGTTGTATCATGTGCCAGTACTTTATTCTTGTTTATGGATAAATAGTGTATCATTGCATGGATATGCCACATAGGTCATATATGGATATGCATGTGAAATTATGAAAATTTGTGTGTAAGTTTTAGTTTGTACACCTGTTCTCAATTTTGGTTGTTGTTGAGACAGGGTTTCATTATTTTGCCCTGGCTGACCTGGAACTTGCTATGTAGACCAGGCTGAACTCACACTTACAGAGGTCTAAACTGCCTGCCTCTGCCTTCTAAGTGCTGGGATTAGGGGCAGGTGCTACCATATCTACCTCAATTCTTTTTTTATTTATTTACAAAAACATCTCTCTCTCTCTCTCTCTGTGTGTGTGTGTGTGTGTGTGTGTGTGTGTGTGTGTGTGTGTGTGTGTGTGTGTGTGTGTTGTGCACATGTGGAGGCCAGAGGTCAACTTACAGGTGCTGGTTCTCCTCTTCCTCTATGTGGGTCTCCCAGGGATGGAACAAAGATCAACTGGTTTGGCAGCGAGTGCTTTTACCTGCTGAGGCATCGGCTGGTCCTTAGTTTTTCATTTCTTTTGGGCATATGCTGAAGGTAGGCTTGCTGAATTACATATATTTTTATATTTAAAGCACATTGGCTAAATATTTCCTATCCCTCCAGCAATACACAGGGTTCCAACTGTCAACAGCAAATTGACCTTTCCTACCATTTTGGAAATATTATTGACATCTTAGTGGATGTGGAATACCACTTTAGTCTTTCAGTTTGACTTTGTGCTGGGGACTGAGCCCGGGCTCTGCTCATGCCCGGTGAGTGCTTTTCCTCTGAGCCACAGTGCCAACCCCACTGTGGTTCTCATTCACCTGTCTCCATGACTACAGTACTGAGTTGCTTCCCATGTGCCTGATGGCCATTGGTGTGTGTTCTTCGGAATGTCTCTTCAGGTCCTTTGCCCACTTCATTTCATTTATTCTTTATTCTATGGCGTTGGCTGGGTACAAACTCACAGCTCTCTTGACTCAACCTTTTAAAGTGCCAGGTTATGGGCATGCACCATCAGGCGTGGGTCCTTTGTCCAATTTAAACGACGTTTTTTGTTGTTGCATTCTGCTGGCCTTCTGTGTTCAGAACACTAGACCTTTATCAGGCATGTGATCTGTGATGTTTTCTCTCATCTTATGGTTGTTTACTCGTTCTCTTTCTCGCTCTCTTTATAGAGTCTTGTGATGTTTTTAAAATTTGAATGACATCCCAATTTATTTCTCTCTCTGTGTGTATGTGTGTATGTATGTACATGTACATGTACATATGTGTGTGTGTGAATCTGTGTGTACATATGTGTGGAGCAGGCCCGAGTTCTATCTGGAGTGTGAGTCCTCTGGAGCCATCCACCTTCTCTTTTAAAGACAGGATATCACTGGGACCTGAGACTCTCGGATTACATTAGGGCGGCTAGCCAGCAAGCTCAAGGAATCCTCCGGACCCTTTTTCTCCAGCCCTGGGATTACAGCATGCACCACCAGACCAGACTTTTTACATGGGTGCTGGGCTTGAACCCAGGTCTCCACGCTTGCCCAGCAGGTGTATTACTGACTGTGCTCTTGCCCCAGCACTGCGGCTGTCTTTTTCGTTTGTGCGTTGGGCATCATGAATTAGAAACCATTACCAGTGTTGTGGTGGCGCAAGCCTTTACTCTTGAGACTCAGGGGACAGAGGCAGGTGTACCTCTGGGAGTTTGAAGTCAGCTTGGTCTACATGTTGAGTTCTAGGTCAGCTAGGGTTACATAGTGAGACCCTGTATCAAACAGACAGACAGACAGACAGACAAGCATAAAAAAGAAACCATCACCAGACACAAGGCCATGAAGGTTTGCGCTGTTTTCTTCTGAGAGTTTTTGCTCTTCTACCTAGTTTTGAATTTTTCTTTGTTTTCTTCAGCACTGAAGATTGAATTTAGGGCCTCAAGTGTTCTAGGTGGGCACTCTCCCACTGAGGCCCAGTCCTACACTTAGTTTTAAATTCTATTCCGAGTAATGATACACAGTGTGAGATACAGATTCAACTCCATTCATTTGCATTTGGACATCTGGTCCCAGCATCATTGATGCAGACG